GGATAGTCCTCCGGCATCCCCAGAGCCGGGGACTCCCCTGGCGAGTGACGGATCCGGTCATAAGTGCGGACGACCCCCTGGTGACCGCCCTGTAGACTCGTATGATAGTGGTGCAGAATGTCCTGCTGAAGCGTCTCAGGTATCACTAGTCGCATCAGCTTATCTCGATCTGCGGCTGCTTCCTTAGATGTCGGGCAATAGAAGAGTAGATCCAGCTGATCCACTTCATAATTCATGGCAATGGATCCGAACATTCTAGCTTCTTCTTGTGTCAGATCCCGGATCTCCCCGATTAGATACTTCTTCAAGCCCATGATCCACGACTCCTCGTCCTGCGCTTGTCGGATCCGTTCGATCCGTAGCTCTCTCACGACTTCCTCTCGTAAGGAGTCTGGATTAGACCCCACACGTACCCCCGATCGAGCCTTAGATCGGGTCGTCACCGCTGATACCCGTACGACCTCTTCTCTCACTATCAGGATCTCATCCAACCTATTTAAAGTATGAGATCCTGAACCTCTGCCTCAGACTCTATCTCGATCCATGGGCATGGATCCAACCTGGATCTACCTCCATAGGATCAGGCGCCTCCAGATCCAAGGTTCTTCGGTGGTCGACATCCCGATCTTCCTGTGATCTTGGATCTACACCTTCTGCTCCCAATATTTGTTGGATCCGCCCTTGAGTCGTCTCTTTCACCATCGCAGCGAAGTCGATTTCTCGCAATTCGTACAGAACTGACGCGTAGATCGCGTAGTCTTCGATAAATCGGCTATAATAGTTCAGACTCCCCAGAAATGATTGCCTAGCCCTGAGTGATCCTGGAAAGGCTAAATCAGTTAATGCAGACAGATCTTTCGGATTCGCCTCCAGTCCGTTGTGCGAGACCTTATGTCCAAGGTATTCCGCCTTGGGCATCCCCCAGAAACTTTTAACCACGCTGATCGACAGGTTCCATTTGTCGCATGCTTCGAGCAACCCCTCGACTCGATCACATAGTTGATCCCAACTATTAGCGGGGATCAGGATGTCATCGATATATGATCTGCGGCCAAGCACCGAAGGGCTGCCTGGATCCACCGGTTCCCCGTCCTCAAACACATCCACCATACTTCCGTGATCTTCAGCCCCCGGGATCCGGGTAAACCCATACAATGCATTATCGATCATGCGTTGATAGATCTGGGGCGCGTTCTTCAGGCCGAAAGGCATTCGATTCCACTCAAATAATCCGAAGGGAGTGATAAAAGTTGAGATCAAACGAGCACGATCCGTCATTTTCACTACCAAAACTCCACTTGCCATATCCAAAGAACAGTACCAAAGTGTCGACTCCAGAT